TTTTTGTCTTTCCTATAATCTTCTGCTGCATCACAGGGCAAGCATTATGGCCAATGAGTATTGGATCCGAGTAATAGCTTTCGAAATTGTATATAACAAGACGTGAAACAGGTAATAGAGCTCATAGTCGGAAGCCTAATTGGTATTTGCAGAATGTAACAACTTGACTGCAGAAAAAGACAAAAAAAAAAATGGCAATAGCTATATTGGATTTTAAAACTGCCAACCTTTCAATGTTTTTGAAATAATGATCAGTTAATATAAAGAGAATGTATAGTAGAAGCAATTAGGTTTTAGCGTCTTGATTAAGTCTAAGATTTAGGTCTTTATTAAATGATAAACCTTTGATCAAAAAGAAAACTAAAAAAAACCATAACAGTTTTATTATAAAATAATGCTAGTAATTGTTCTAATTATATCCAAACCTTACACAAGATCCGAGAAAACAATTATAGTGTCTTCTGACAGCAGAACATTTCTAGGGTTTCCAGCTCACAAGTGGCTGAAGAAGTGCATGCCTTCAGATTTTGCATTTACAATATACAAAATTGAAAGAGTGTACTCGAATAAAACCCTAATTATTAGTCGCGAATGTTGAATTTATCTTAAGGCAAATGAGAGGAGATCATATGCATCACTTTGAAATGACTATTGCCTGTTGTTTGATAGCATTTCAAATGAATCCATGATCCCAAATAAGATGTTATCCTTATGAAAAGCTGAACTTTCATACTTTAGAACAGGGTTCAGATTTGTGTTTTGATTTTCAAAATAGGGCATATCTCCAGTTGTATTGTTCAAGTTAGGATCAAACTGGGACATCATCCCTTGATTTTGGAAGGGCTGGGAGTACCAATTTTGAACATCTTGCAGAAAAGAAAGGCCATCCCTAGGGTTTGCAGTAATATTGGAGCTATTTGGGATGCACTGAGCCGCTTGTTCCTTGAGAGAAGCCAGCTGGGCTTGAAGATTGACAACCTAAAAACCAGAAAAATAAGGAGAATGGATTTGAGAACTGAAGGTAAAAGATTGTAGCTTCTTTTTCTTTCTTAACATTCTGCGGACTATTAGTTCACTAAACGAGAGTAGGACTAAAACTAAATAATTCAATTTCAATATAAACATTGAGTAGAAAAGGGAACTAACTACCTGCTGTTGGAGGGCAAAAATATGAGACACACAACCATAAGTTGGATCTTGTAGCCTAGCCTGAGCTTCATAAGCGATAGTGGTGGCGGCTTCACGCCGATCACTTACTGGCAAGTGAGAAAGGAGTTTCGACGCATTGCTCGCACCGAAAACCTTGTGAATTGCTGCAAAATGAGTAGCACCTTGTTCATGGCAGAAATAAGGGGCAAACACACAACCCCTCAAACATTTTCTTCTCAAGAATTTGCAGGCACCACATGGGGAACCAGACCCTGTCATCTTGATCTTAATGGGGTTTTACTGATAATCTGCTCTTAGTTAACTTAATTAGTACAAGAGTTAATTATCACCATGCTGATAAAGACCAGATGGGGAGGAAGGTGGATCTTATTTTATTCTCTTCTTTATCATAAGATGTTTCCTTATTGGGCAACATATTTCATTATTTTTTTCTATAAAACTCTTTTTTATCCCTCCATGGAAAATTTTATATTCTGATTTAAGATTCCATTCGG